AGTCCAATGATCCAGTAAGCGAATGCATTCAAACAATCCGTCCAAAACAGCGCTAATATAAAGGAAACCAGGCTGATTACATCAGAGATCGCAGAGAGAACAGAGACTCGCATTGCGATTTAAACACGAGCTCTATTATATTCTGTGATTGTCTCTGAAGACCGCAAGCCCTCACATGTCACACGCGCTGTGTGAAGTACAGACTGAACGGATTGTCAACACATCCCACCGCTGTATGGCCAGATGAGATGCAAACTATGTTTTCTCGACTGGATAACCAGTCTCGCTAGTAAAGTTTTGATGGATGAAGACTGCAATCAAGGTAAAGACGATTGCGGTGGCGTACAGAGTCGTAAAGAAAGCACGCGTGAGTCCGTTATAATAATGCGTGTATGAGTGCTCTTGACGCACTGATCACACATTGTATTTATGCACAGGCACAGACATTTCCATACATTCACGTTGTTTCCACACACATTCACCCTAATGTCTTGATTTGTCATGTTTATGTTGCTGTGTTTAGCTATACTGAATGGATCCATGTACTGTAGTAGATACAGGTGCATCTCAATAAATTAGAATGTCATGGAAAAGTTCATTTCAGTAATTCAACTCAAATTGTGATCGGTATCGCAACTTGGCTTCTCCCAAAAATGTAAAAAAGCTCTTTGGTGTTGCACTGTACACATACTATAAAATTCAGATTATTTTTTTCTTTTATATGTGCTTATATGGGCTCCCTATATCATTTGGTTCTTTGGTGTCTTTTTGGAGTTTCTAAGTGTCTTTTTTTGGAAAGTCATCTAAATTTATCCTGAAAAAAACTTGCAGAAAATTTAGATTTTTGAGAATCACCCTTCAATTTTTTGGTTTATTTTGCTGGATATAGCAAATGATGACAAAATAAACATTTGAAACAAGATAAATGGTCTATGCTTAATTTCATGAAGTGTGTGATTAATCATGATTAATCACAGAAAAAGGATGTGATTAATCAGATTAACAATTTTTATCGATTGACAGCTCTAATATATATATATATATATGACATATGACCCTGGAGCACAAAACCAGTCATCTTAAGGGTCCATTTTTTGAAATTGAGATTTATAGATCATCTGAAAGGATGTTATGATAGGACAATATCTGGCCGAGATACAACTATTTGAAAATCTGGAATCTGAGGGTGCAAAAAAATTAAAATATTGAGAAAAACGCCTTTAAAGATGTCCAAATAAAGTTCTTAGCAATGCGTATTACTAATCAAAAATTAAGTTTTTATATATTTACGGTAGGAAATTTACAAAATATCTTCATGGAACATGATTTTTACTTAATATCCTAATGATTTTTGACAAATATACTCCAGCGACTTAAGACTGCTTTTGTGGTCCAGGGTCACATATATCTCATGTACCATTGATTGAACACATTATGTACTGTTTAGGTATTAATATGTACAGTTTAAGTACTAATATGCACCTTTAAGAAACTAAAATACACTCTTTAGAGGTAAATATGGTGCAAAGGTATGTCTTTTGAAAAGTTACCGCCCCACTGACGGCCTATTTTTCTGAAAGTGCATAAGTCCACAGCTCTAGTCCTTCCCTGGTGCCATATTCCACCACATACTTTTATCAGTGTCCTTTGTGGTATCTTTTATGTGGTATTTATTATGTTTACACTCCTGTTACACTCCTGTTCTTGTGTTCCTGCTATATACAGTATATATATATTTTTACAGAAAGCTGCTGGCTAAAGTGCTAGTACTGAGGACAGCCGTGTTCGTTCCACTGCATGTCATATACTTCGTGGGAACGCTTCGTTTTCAGAGCCGTATGGCCATTTTCTTCACTCACAAGCTGACGTAAAATAGGAGAACAATAGACTTAGCCATGGTCATGCCATCCACGGAGAAATCAAATGCACCAGGTAATCAGGAGTTTATGGATATTATTACATTTGTCATATTATGGGTCAGTGTTTTCATGTTTTGAAGGATTTGGAAATTGATCATTTCCATGTATTATCAGTCTGCAGGTTAAGACAGTATGCATTATTACTGGCTTTTCTTTGGACATCATTCTGTTTGGTAAGACATTTTAAAGCAGACGTTAAAATGCTAATCAAATAAATAAGCATTTTATACCTAACAATACAACAAGGCTGTGTGACATTCAAATCAATTTGAATTGAAAAAGCTTTTTAAATTACAATTCAATTCCTAAATCTGAATTTAGGCATCTGAAATTAGCAAACAAATGCAGAATGAAATGAAAGTACAAATTTGTGGAACTGCTGTAATTGTAGTTTTAAAGTAAATTCAATAGGTTTTAGCAGGAATCAATGCATTTGTATGTTTGGTATTTATGCTTGCGCTCTCTGAATCATTTGAGACATTTTTTTCTCTCAGCTCAGCTTTTTTATTTAATTTTATGTATTTATTTATTTATTTATTTATTTATTTTAATTTCACAGTTGGGTCGTTATTTGTAGGCTAAATATTAGAAAAATCACATGATTATTTCCATTTAGCATAGAGGCTTCTCCTGACCACTCACACTCTCTGTAAACTTCACAGACTTCACTGAATAAACAGACGGAGCACAAGAGAATAGGAGCACAATAATTTTGACTCAATACATTTGGCTACATTTTTCTTGTTAGACATTAAACATGGGTTTAAAATTAGACATGTAAGATAAGTAAATGTATTTTATTAGAGCAGTAACAGTAAAGAGACTTAAAGGGAGTTAAAATGTGAATGCAGGCTAATTAGCTGTATTAAAGGCAGGGTGATTTGATTCAAAAACATTTTTTTGTTATGCTGGTTGAAAGTCTCTTCGCATCCCGATAACAATCACTAAGTTAAAGTCACCATGAAATCAAAAATGACAATTCTATTTTTTTTACACAGTGTTGAAGTATTTATTATAAATGATTTGTCCGTGCACATCATTCTTTTTTTTTAATTCATTTGCACTTGTAATCTTTAATCAAAAACATTAACCTCTCCTCCCCCTCTCAACAACATCTCTTCTCTTCACGACGTAAGACTCAAAAAAGGGGTTAGACTATACTGACTGTCCAATGACCAGGCTTTTAGCACCCTTCGTCGGGAGTTTGATTGACAGGCGATCTGACCAGTCATATTGTCGAATCCGCCATTTGGTTAGACAAACAAAACAGACAGGAAAGTTAATAGATTAACATCAATAGAGTCAAACTTGAAAATGGTGTATTGACCTCTTTCCGCGGTGGAGATAACATACCTTCTAATGTTCATTCATGTGTATTTCACGTTATAACTAACAGGAAAAGATCAATTCACATTTGAACTGCTAGAACTGAGGTGCTACAGCGATCTGTCATATTAAAGAGCCACAAAAGTTATATTTATTGTTTGAATTTCTTTCAAAAAATGACACATTTTGAAAGCTGAGACTTTGTTTCACTCCAAAAGTAACCTCTGTCTTATCTCTCAGCGCATTGTCAGTGTCCTCTTTGCTCCGCGATGTATTTTTCAATGACTGATGATGTGTTGCGTGAGAACGCAATCGCCGCAGTTCAAACAGCACATGTACCGATCATCTCTTCCTCTTTATTACTAGTTATAGCATGAAATAAACATGAATGAACATTAGAGTTATGTTGTCTCAACCGCGGAAAGATGTCAGTACACCATAGTCCACTGACATTAATCTAACTCTCCTGTTTGGGTTGCTTTGTCGGACAAAATGGGGGATTCGGCATTATGATTGGTCGGGTCACCTGTCAATCAAGCTCCAGGCAAAGGGTGAAATCCCGCCCTACATTCCAGAAGCCGTCTCACTCGGATGTACGTCACAATAGGGAAGAAAAGATTATCGCAACTTCCGTTTCATGCCAACTTTAAGTGCTCTAAATGTATTTATATCATCTGTCCCTTACGAAAATTAACCATGGTTTTATTATAGTAAAAATGTAGTAACCATGGTTTTTTGGCATATTGATTACCATTTGTACAACCACATTTTTACTACAAATACCATGGTTAAAAAATATTACATTTATTTCATTTTAATAATTAATAAGATTAATCGTAGAAATGATTGATAGATTTATCGATTATCAAAATAACCGTTATTTGCAGCCCTAGTTGAAACATGCTAAATAACTTGCATGCACAACACACTTGACTCCTGATTTTTGCTCCACACATGGATAGTAGTCTCCTCTTTTATTTTCTGATGCCTGTGTTGCATAGCGTGTTCGTTATTTTGGGAGTGGAGCAATGCATGTTTCTTTTAGGTAGGGTTGTGTTTGTTTGGCTGGCGATTTCAAATACCAACAGTATTTCTCAGAAATCACTAACTGCACCTGTAAGCTGGCATAGACGGTATTTTAACACTGAAAAAGTTACAAACTTCAGCTTTAAGTACCCTCATAATTAGTGGTGGGGAAGTGGATGGCATCTTTGTCACACAAATATAACTTGCTGTTTGTTTTTGACTTGTTGTGTAAAGGAAACTCTTTACTTGATGCTTTTGAACCCAACCCATTGACAGTTTGTGCATGATTACGCCAAATGCCTACAGATCTATATAACGTTTCTAGTATTATCCAGAAAGTATCTGTATCTACAATGAACATTAACCAGTTGCACATAGAAATAAATGGAATTTGGTCTGAATGATATTCTGGTCCTCACTCAGGCTCTGTGGGCATTGAATGGTGGGATCCATATCAAACCATTTCAGCCCCCCAGACCTAAACCAGTTCCTCGAAATAACAATTCATCCATAATATCAGCGGTTGACATGGGAATCAGCGATGAGGAGTGGGAAAGACTACAGAAGGCTCTGGACTGGCCTATTCCAGATCAAGAAATCACTCATCTGATTCAGAGCACAAGTCCAGTCCACTCAACTTTCTCTATTGTGGGACTCAAAGAGAGTTACAAAGTGGGAGAAATTATCTCTGTTATTATCACAGCCAGAGACCACAACAAGAACCTGAAAAGATATGGAGGAGACTTTTTCAAAGCAAAACTTTTCAGTACAGAGCTAAAGGTGTGTTTATTTTATGACATATTTTTGAAACACATTTTTGAAAATAAACAAATAAATAAAATCAATATACAGACATTTGTCATGTTAAGTTTCACTTCCGATAATTGCTGATTTATTTACATAAATATTACATATTATGTTTACGTTTAAAAGCTTTAAAATGTACTTTACCAACAGACATTAGTTTTCTGCATTACATTTATTCTTTTCCATTTCTCTTGAAGGCGAGTGTGTACGGGGAGGTTGTGGATCATCGTAATGGGACTTACTCTGTTGCTCTTCTTCTGCCCTGGGAAGGTCAGGCACAAGTTTTTGTACGTCTAGAGCACTCCAGTGAGGTTGTGCAGATTCTTAAAAAATACAGGGACTCTTCATTCCCACGCACCCACTTTAATGGCTACTTTGAAGGATCAGGACCCAATAAAACCAGGATCCGTGAAGTAGTAGAATGTAATCTTAAGTGGGGTGCAGATGGAAGTTGGAGGAAAGGCGACTGCTGTTGTGAGCATAGGGATATAAGAACAGGGACGGTGTGGCAGTGTGAGAGACCGAAGAAACTTTCCTGTGACAAACTGGTTCGTCATTCAGGCGGACGTTTGGAAAGCCCATTAAATCTTCTTGAGCAGCAGCTTTTTTCAAAGTAATGATTCAAAATGAATTTCAGAATAATTATAGAATTGTAAAACACACACAAAAAAGTGTACAAAATATATATATTTTTTTCTCCACAGGAAATTAACAAATCTTGCTATTAGTGGAGACAAAAAAATCCTAAATATCCTTCCCAACACTGCAGCCATTGGTATGTTTACATAATGGTCTTGGTACGTTTTGACCATCTCATCTCCTGGGGGGGAATTAGGCTTGAGTTATTTTTGTTTATTGTCAGCAAATTGGTTTATGGCATTAATATTTGGCATTGTTTAGACACTGAAATTGTCGCACACACTTAAGCGGCGTTTCAGAGAATGAAATATTTTAAAACACAGTAAACACAATGGAAGTATGAAATAAATGAAGTAAAATAACATGAAGTAAAAACATATATGAAACCTATTAGAAATAGGAACAATTTAATATATTAACATATATCTAGGCCATACAAATATATGTTTATGTATGTGCAATACAATTTTGGACATATATGCCATGTACAAGTATATCCATTATATAAGTAAATATACAAATATATTTTTTTCCTTTTTTTGCAACAGGACTAGGGATGGGTACAGAACCGGTATTTGTTTGGACCTGTACGTAATTGGGTCAATACCGGACTACCGATACGCTTCAGGACAAACGATAGTGTTACCGATACTTGCGTTGTTTTATCTCCCTGTATACTTCTGTGTTAATGGCAAATTAGAAGCGGCTGCTTGTCATTTTCCTGTTGGTCAGTGCGTGCCAGGACTAACAACGAGCCGGGCGGGGCCCAAAATCAAGCGCGTTTCCACTATTAGATCATTGCTACAGTAAAACCCGCCCGTAAAGCCGCCTTTCCACTATCTCCGACAAACGACAAGCGATAGACCGGAAGTCATTCATTTCCAATGGAGAGTAGTGCGGGAGCTGCGTGGAGTTCTGCATATGCAGAAAATTAGGATCCGATTTGAGCTTCGGATGTGATACAATATTTGAACTTCTGCGGCTAGACTGTGTGCGAGCGATCGGCCGGATGTGATGTATTCTAATGAAAACTATGAGCGCGAGGTTAGAATGACCAATATTTTTCCACTTTAACATTATTCTGTAAACACTACTTCTGTAAAATTACGCTTTAGAATAATTATGGCAGAAATAATTATTTAATAATTATTAAATCACTATGTACGTTGATTAGCCCCATAAAACCTACTATGTTTTTATTTTGGGGGTCATTTTTTGTGTGTGGATATATTCATACACAGAGCCGGTTCTAGACCTTTGGAGGCCCTAGGCAAAATTCATGTTGGAGGCCCCCCACCCCTAATAAAAAGCACTTGAAACAAATATGATTCCTAACCTTTTTATTTATACAACATTTAATTTTAAATTGTGTATATTTTTTTATTTATACAGTACCGGTCAAAGTTTGGACACTTTACCATTTTTTTATGTTTTTGAAAGAGCACATTGTCTCACACACACACTGTAGACTTGCGTGGCATATAAACGGTTACTTGGGACGATGTTAAATCAGAGTTCTGTGTGGAGCTCTTATAATAAAATGAATGAAAATAATAAAATTAATGAAAATGAAGTGCAGTGCAAACTCTGCCGTGCAAAACTTGCTTACCAAAGACCACAAATGCCACCGACTGGCAAAATTAGCAAAGGCTTACTTGTGACCAATATTTTTCCACTTTAACGTTATTCTGTAAACACTACTTCTGTAAAATTACGCTTTAGAATAATTATGGCAGAAATAATTATTTAATGATTATTAAATCATTTCATTTAAAATGTTGTATTTTTTTATTTATACAGTACCGATCAAAGTTTGGACACTTTACTATTTTTTTATGTTTTTGAAAGAGCACATTGTCTCACACACACACTGTAGACTTGCGTGGCATATAAACGGTTACTTGGGACGATGCCCATAAAACCTACTATGTTTTTATTTTGGGGGTCATTTTTTGTGTGTGGATATATTCATACACAGAGCCGGTTCTAGACCTTTGGAGGCCCTAGGCAAAATTCATGTTGGAGGCCCCCCACCCCTAATAAAAAGCACTTGAAACAAATATGATTCCTAACCTTTTTATTTATACAACATTTAATTTTAAATTGTGTATATTTTTTTATTTATACAGTACCGGTCAAAGTTTGGACACTTTACCATTTTTTTATGTTTTTGAAAGAGCACATTGTCTCACACACACACTGTAGACTTGCGTGGCATATAAACGGTTACTTGGGACGATGTTAAATCAGAGTTCTGTGTGGAGCTCTTATAATAAAATGAATGAAAATAATAAAATTAATGAAAATGAAGTGCAGTGCAAACTCTGCCGTGCAAAACTTGCTTACCAAAGACCACAAATGCCACCGACTGGCAAAATTAGCAAAGGCTTACTTGTGTGTGCTCACGACGTCTGTGCCATCACGCCAGGTTCACACATGCTCCGTCTGCAGTGTGTATGCAGTCCATGTGTGGTTCATATGCGATGCAGAAGCAGCACGGGCTCATTGTGCTTTCACACAGGACGCGTTTGCAGTCCACTACTGATCCGTGGCTGCTCACCACAAACACAACATTATAATAAAATTAATGAAAATAATAAAATTAATGAAAATGAAGTGCAGTGCAAACTCTGCCGTGCAAAACTTGCTTACCAAAGACCAGAAATGCCACCGACTGGCAAAATTAGCAAAGGCTTACTTGTGTGTGCTCACGACGTCTGTGCCATCACGCCAGGTTCACACATGCTCCGTCTGCAGTGTGTATGCAGTCCATGTGTGGTTCATATGCGATGCAGAAGCAGCACGGGCTCATTGTGCTTTCACACAGGACGCGTTTGCAGTCCACTACTGATCCGTGGCTGCTCACCACAAACACAACATTTATCCATTATTTTGATTTCAAAAATAATGGAGTTACTGAAAATGCTTTTTCAGCATTGTGATTCTCTTTTTACGCAGTACAGTAATACAATCTTTCATAGACGTATTCACGTTTAAGCGCAATAAATATAAGCAACGCCTTAATGCGGTTTACTTCTAGATTTATATATTGTTGCTAAAGCAGGTGGCAAAACATTTAAGCTACTTTTCTTACATTATCACAAACATTCTAAATTAAAACTTACCACTGACAGAAACAGTCAGCTCTCCTGGCTTTTCTGTTTACCTCCACGAGTGCATCTATTCCGTGGCTGCTCACCACAAACACAACATTTATCCATTATTTTGATTTCAAAAATAATGGACAGAGGATTCATGAGCTCGCAAAGCTCAGCACTGGACAAAAGCTCAGTATTGTAAGCGGTGAGCGGATTCTAACCCTTACGAAAAAGAAGTTTATTCAAGTGTGCTATTAGTACCTGGCTTTTCTGTTTACCTCCACGAGTGCATCTATTATGTTGCCTTGTTTATCTAAAAGTGCTCTTTTCCTTGCTTTAAACCTAGCCAAAAAGCCATATGTGTTGATTGTGAAACCCAGTAGACCACGGGTGTCAAACTCAGGTCCTGGAGGGCCAGAGTCCTGCAGAGTTTTGTTCCAACCCTGCTCCAACATACATACCATGTAGTTTTCAAATAAGCCTGAATGACTTGATTAGTTGTATCAGGTGTGTTTAATTAGGGTTGAATCTAAACTCTGCAGGGCTCCGGCCCTCCAGGAATTGATTTTGACACCCCTGGTTTACTCACGCATCGCAAGGCGGTGGCGCTGCGCTTCTCGTCCGGTGTGCGACCGCCTTTCAGAAATGCAACAAGAAAACAGTGCAGCGAGAGTGACTGATATCACCAAAATAAAACATAGCAAAATTTAAGTCAAATTAAAATCCTCATTACAAATGCATCATCACACAATCGGTCTGTGCACAAAACCAACAAATGATTAATGTAAGCCAACACATCACGACAGCGCTCACAGCAAAACAACTTAGCGACAGACACTTCATTACAAACAAGCAGTGTTTATATTAAATAATATTATTGTTGGCGCAGCGGCCCAGTAAATGTCCTCACTTACGTTATTTGTGGCTTCCATCGTGACATGAATAATAGCTAGTTAGTTTATCAGTGTATATATCTATTTTTTTTTTCCGATAGAGATCCCACAGCGGGCATAACTTGTCATAAAGTTAGTGATAAAAAGGCCCGCCCATTTAGAGGAAAGATATGATTGGTCAGTTTTCTCTGTAATTTCACAACTGGACCACCAATCAATCTACGGAAACGCTAGGCGGAAACATTCTAATATGGAGAAAATGGGCGGAGTTCATTTAACGCATTCACTGGTTTGAAGAGTATATTTCCACAGAAATTGTATTTATTTTATTTAGATGATGATTGTGAAATTATGAATTGCTTAAATAAAATAGGAAATTATGACTTTTTATTAAAAATAATATTTAAAACTTTGTCATTTAAAAAAAAAATTGTAAATATTGTTTTTACAATAGTTTAGGCTCTCTCTGAGGGCCTAGAGGGCCCCGACGGTTCCCCGCTGTTCAAATGTCATAAAATTATCCCATGAAACTAATTTCATATTCCAAGTGTCCTGAAGTCATGCGGTACACTGTAAAAAATAAGTGTAATTTTAACTGTAAAATTTTGTACAAACGCTACGGAAAAAAACTGTTAATAGGTTAACAGTAAGTTCCCGTACTATATACAGGGAAAAACTGTAAAATTTTCATTAAATTAAAATTTCATTTAATTTTACAGTAAAATGCTGTTAATTTTACAGTTTTTAGAAGTAAAAATAACAAATCAATGTATAATTTACAGTCAAAAACTGTAAACTGGTATTCCCAGAATTCCCTGCATGACACTCCACATTTGAAAGTATTTTGTTTAAATAATCATGTTTTTTAATAGTTTTTGTTATTAGTTATGTATATTTGGGCTTTATGTTACATCTTCTGTTGTTTAATGAAAGTTGAATGCATTATTTAAGTATCATGTGTGTTACCATGATGGTGTTTTGTGTTTGCATGAATGACTCTGAAAATTATTTTGTAAAAACTACAGAATTTTTTTTACAGTGTAGGGTTTGCCAAGAAACAAATCAAAAATGTAATCTATTACTAAGCATAAATCTCTTCGTGCATTTATTCGAGTGCGCGACAGTTCGCGCCGGCACACATTGGAAAGTTGTCACTCACTTCAAATCATCGTGATCTCACAATGTACCGTTAATTAGGGGTGGGCGATACTGCAATTTTTGGTATCGATCCGATACCAAATAAATACAGGGCCAGTATCGCCGATACTGATACCGATACTTTTTATTTTAAAAGCATGCATTTGAATTAACCAATTACACTTTTTAAAATTAACAATAACTAAGGCTGATCTGATTAAATCTTTACATTCACCATTGCTATGTGGTTATTGTTTGCTTTTCTGAAGAGACTCCCATAGAAAAGATTTATAAAGAAAATGCTTGACGTGGCTTAATGCATTAAGAAAGTAATATTAAACGACCAATTCAATATACACCTTATTAATGTTGCAAACTATACACAAGCAAGCAGACATGAAATATCTATAAGTGAGCAGAATATGAAAGCAACGCAGTTTCACATTAAGCACTTTCCTCCCATAGAAAATGGTTTTAAAACGCTTAACATGGCTTAATGGATGAAGACAGTGATATAAAAAGACCAAGTTCAATATACAATTTATTAATAGAATATACTAATGTGGAGGCAAGCAGATGAGCCCAGAATATGTACACAATGCGCTAAATTGCACATTAAATGTTTTCCTCCCATAAACGTTATAAAGAAAACACTTAGCGTGGCATAATGCCTTAAGAAAGTAATATTAAAAGACCAAACTCAGGATACACCTTACTTTTGATACTGATGAACCATATACAGGCAAGCAGATGAGCCCAGAATATAAACGCAACACGCTAAAATTGCTCCCATAGAAAAACAATGTGGCTTAATAGATGAAGACATAAAAATATAAAAAGGCCAAATTCGGTAGGCCTATATAGTTTATAAAAAATATACTATGAACTATGCAAAGTATTTCCCTCCTCCCCTCATCATTTATTTTGCAGTGCGATGTTTTGTCTCTCTAACTTTTTTCTTCTTTCTTTTCTTTTCTTTTCTTTTCTTTTCTGCCATTCCATCTCTCACTAAACAAAAGTGTCTGCTTGCGCTTGCCGCCGCTGAGTCACATTGCACTGTGTATAGAAAAAATAAACTTAAACTAAAGTACCGATTTCATCAGGCTGGTATCGATCCGATAACAATACATTTACATTTAGTCATTTAGCAGACGCTTTTATCCAAAGCTACTTACAATTGGGGGATACATAAAGCGATTCTTCTTCACAATAGCAACATTGGTATCGATACTATCGATATGAGGATCGTTCCGCCCACCCCTACTGTTAATCAGTGAAGCTCTTTACACTGCACAATGAATCTCTTATTTACATCGTATCTACACTTTTAATGAGAGGATTCATGAGCTCGCAAAGCTCAGCACTGGACAAAAACTCAGCATTTTGAGCGATGAGCAGATTCTAACTTAAACACCTCGCATTCAGAAAATCAACAGATATGTCTGTGATTGGTTACATTGCTCAACACTGCAAAACACGCTGTAAATATAAACATTTGACGCTCTCCAGAACACAAATACACACTGTAGCATTTGCCAAATATGTTACGCCAATATCAGATGGGGCCCCCTGACTCCCCGGAGCCCTAAGCGCTTACCTCGCTTATTGGTTAAGTCCGGCCCTGCTGAGCAGAAAAGAAGTTAATTTCTAGTTAGTTGAAACTGAAATGAAGTGTTATGTTAGAGCAGTAATGCAATCATCAGCAGAATTTAGAAGATACACTCATCTTAGCTCCTTTTTTAAAAACAAAAAAGAAGTTCTAGTGTCTTTTTACTTTTACAAATATTTTACTTTTGTAGATATTTTTTTAGTCAGCTCCCGATGCGATGCCATTCACTGTGCGCGCAAATTCAAACCGTCACGTTTGGACACCGGCGCTCACGCTCTTTTAAACTCGTAATAAACCAGTGAATGATCTGTCCAGAAATGACGCTGATCGATATAACAAGTTTAGTTGAAAAGAGTTCTCTTTCGCTCTTTCAAGTGAAAGAGAACTCGAATCGGGACTCGCGCCCACATGCAGAGAGAGGGGGGCGCAATTCAGACAATTGATTCCTCTTTCACGTCTCTTTGCGCTTCAATGGACAGATACACACAAATTTATGTTAAAATACCTGTTTTGGCAAGTATTCTGGTAAACACAGTCAGTTATGTCTTAAGTGACCATAAACACCCGAGAAAGGAAGTGAATGTGTGTCAGTATTAAGTCCGTGCATTTGGTCTTAAAGAGACAGCAGCCTATAAATATCTGCTTCTGTCTGCTAATCAAACACCACCACAGCTTTAAACAATATTAATCCGTTTTTAACTTATGCAGTGAGCACTATTGCGTTATTGTTGAAAAATGTGCTTTGTTACGTGCCTTTTTCTGTTTGCTTAGAAGCATTTGTAAACTGCAGTACTAAAGTTCAGCGGTAATAAAATAACTTGAAATTTTCAACATCTTTTCACATCATGTCTTTTTGCACCAAATTATAGAGGGTATTATCGATAACAGTATCGATACGTATCAGTACCGGTATCAATAAAATGTAAATGATAACCATCCCTAGATAGGACAGTATAGAGAGACCGGAAGCGAAATGATGGAGAGAAGGGAATGTGATCAGGAAAGATCCTCGAGTCGGGACTCATAATGTATTTTGAGTTTTAACATGTTGGAGCATGTATTTAAAACATTTATTACAAAACACAGTTATAGTATTTATTACTATTTATAAACACAGATTTTTAATTATATGTTGCATATATAAATAAAATGCATATCATTGACATGGTTGCTGCATATAATAACATATGAGAAATCATCATATATTGTTAACACGTACAAATTTTACTGTGGGGATTTTATATATGTTATAATCTTATATCTTCATGTACCCAAACAATGTATATATGTGAAAATTACATACAGCTTGATAGGTAACATATATGATAGTATCATTCTTGATATACAGTAGGGCAATTTGTCATATATTACATATCTGTATGGGTTTCTTTATTTTTTTTCCAAAAAGGAAATGGTCAAAACATACACAGACCTCATATCAGAGGACAGATATCATCTGAAATCAAATGTAGTTTCAAAATAATTCACGTAGCTACAAAACATTTAATGTGCATGTTTCTTTGTTTTAGGCACAATAGAAAAATGCAGGTCTGGCATGATGACACCGGTTCCTGCAGGGTTTTATTTGAAAGATGTCTGGAAGAGACACTAATTATTGCATGCAATAAATCTGAATGCATTATTTGTAAATTGACTGTTAAGATAAACATTTTGCAAAATGTATTATTTGTATATCATTGTGTTGCCACTAGATGCCTGTATAGCCCTATGTAACAATCCCTAGCTAAGACAATGCACATAATTTACACATAAATCACACACAAATTAATTTTATTACATTTGGATTTGGATACATGTTTAGATATTATCAATGGCTACTTTTTGTCTTTATCTGTTTTTTGTTCAATTGTTTTGTTGTTGTTGCTTGAAACATTGATTTAAAATGTTAGTTATTGCATTATTATTTCAGTCAAACCTATATAACCCTTTGTTAGCCCAAACTACATATAAAAGCCTGATCAGTGGCATAAAAGTAATCAATGCAGCTACTTAATCCTTTGCTACTCATTAACGCGTGAACTTCCCCTTTAAATAACGTGACGCTCTGCCCTCTATGTGTATGACGCTACTTCCATTAAGAGTTTGCTCTTTTCCCAGTTGACCCGAAGGCCCAACCAGCTTAGGTGCGAGAGCACCAAGTCCCTGTGTTCGCACAACTGATCCTGAGACTGAGCTAGTATGAGCCAGTCGTTGAGGTAGTTGAGAAAGCGAATGCCCTGCTCTCTCAGGGGAACAAGGGCTGCCTCTGCAACTTTCGTGAAGATACGGGGCAACAGGAACATCCCGGAGGGCAGGACCTTGTACTGATATTCTCGTCCTTTGAATGCAAACCGCAGCAATGGTCTGTGGTGCGAAAGGATCGACACATAAAAGTACGTGTCCTTCAGGTCGATCGCTGCAAACCAATCTTGGGGACGGATGCACCCGAAGATGCATTTCTGCGTCAACATCTTGAAAGGTAACCGGTGAAGGACCCGTTTCAAGAAACGCAGGTCCAAGATCGGTCGTAACCCACTGTCTTTCTTGGGTAAAATGAAGTAGGGGCTGTTCGTCTTCATATCGGCTGGAGGGACCGGCTCTATCTCATCCTTTGCCAGTAGGACTGCGATCTCCACCCGCAAGACAGGAGCATCGGCCGCCTTCACTGATGTGAAGTGGATGCCGCTGAACTTGGGGGGACGCCGATTCTGATGGTCCACAGGAGCCAGCGAGACGTTCGGGTAGCCAGGCAGCCAAACACCGTACAAGCTGGACCAGCGGGACCACCGTCGTACCTGGTTCCACGGTTTGGCAGAGGGTGCGTGAGTAGGGCCTTTGATGATGCTCTCGAACCGCCCGCTGCTCCCTGCTGGCGAGAGAGGAGAATGAGTGTGGTCCGGTGTTGGTCCGTTCTCGACTCTCCGTGCCCTCTTGGGACCCAGAGACCGAGAAAACCGCGCTCCTGTCGAGATTTTTGGAAATCAGATTCTCTAACCGACCCTCCTTCGGGGGAGGGAGAGCTGCATTCACCATCCCCCAAAGAGAAGTTCCCGCTCTCTCTGGGTCGCACGTCCTGGGGCCACTTGCTCTTCCGCTCACCGCCAGGTTTGACGGGGGCCTGGATGGGCGGGGAGGCTTGCTCGAGGCTGCTGTGGATGCAGTGTGGGAGCGGACACAGGGGGCCGCCCTCAGCGATGAGCAGACTGGGGCACTGCGGCCGGTGGACGGTTGGAGTTAGCAGCTGCCTGCCTGGGCAGGACATGTCGGATCGCCTCAGTCTGCTCCTGTGCAGCCGAGAACTGCTGGGCCACGTTCTCGACTGTGTCGCCGAAGAGGCCGATCTGGGACACAGGGACCTTGAGGAACCAAACTTGTCGGCATCCCTCATGTCAGCCAGACACAGCCAGAGATGGCGCTCCTGGACCACAAGTGTGGACATTGCATGACCCAGAGAACTCGCGGTGACCTTCGTCGCTCG